TAAAGAGAAATTTGATTTCTCTTTCGACTTTGGATGATCAAGGGTATAAATTTCACTCCGAGAATGGAATACTTAAAGTGTGTAAAGGCTTTATGGTACTCATGAAGGGTAAACTACATTCTAAATTATATCATCTTTAGGCCAGTGTAGTTGAAGGGGAAACTGTTGTAGCTTCTGGGAAAAGTGATCTGAATCAGTCTTAGTTGTGGCATTTGCGACTTGGCCATATGAGTGATAATGGATTGTCTTTGTTGAGTAAGCAGAATTTGCTGAATGGGTACAAAAATCAAGTTTTGAATTTTTGTGAGCATGGTGTGTTTGGTAAATAGACAAGGGTACAGTTCATCAAGAAGGCCGAGCACAAGACCAGAGACAAGTTAGTTATATACACTCTGATTTGTGGGGTCCAAACAGAGTTCCCTCCAAGAGTGGTGCCGGGTATTTTATGACTTTGATTGATGATTACTCAAATATGGTGTAGGTGTATTTTCTGAAAACAAAAGATGAGGCATTTTCGATATTTGTTAAATGGAATACGATGGTTGAGAGGCAGACGGAAAGAAAAGTTAAGCGTATTCGAACTGACAATGGGTTGGAATTTTGCAATTCTGAGTTCGATAATTTCTGCAGTAGGGAGGGCATAGTGAGACACCGCACTTGTGTCGGAACACTACAACAAAATGGTGTTGCAGAACGTATGAATAGAATGCGTTATGATAGGGCAAGAAGCATGCTTTCACACTCATGTGTTAGCAAAGATTTTTGGGCTGAAGCAATCAATACAACTTGTTATTTGGTCAATAGATCTCCATCCACAACTATTGAGTTCAAAACTCTTTTTGAGGTATGGTCCGGTTCGCCTGCTGATTATTCAAATTTAAGGATATTTGGTTGTCCTGCTTATACTCATGTGAGGGATGGAAAACTTGAGCCGAGGGCAAAGAAGTGCATATTTCTAGGGTATGCAACTGGAGTGAAAAGTTATAAGTTGTGGTGCATAGATCAAAAGACTCTAGGGCTAATTATCAGTAGGGATGTAACATTCAATGAATCTGCCTCACTGGACAGTCAGAGGGAGAAGGCAATAGCAGAAACAGATCGCGGTATCAGTGACTGCATAGAGCTAGAAATTGAATCTCACTAGCTCAGCCCAGTAATTCTAAATTAGAGGAAGTGCAAAATATTGATCAAGACGATAATTTTGATGCACCTGCGCAACAACCCTATAGCATTACAACAGGCAGAGAGAAGAGAGTGATCAATCCACCATAAAGGTTTGAAAACGTAGTTGATGGTAATTTTCTTGGATATGCTAAGTTTGTGGAGTTCGCTTTGTCTGTTGCAGAGACCATTGATGTGCTTGAGCCTAATAGCTATAAAAAAGCTATTTCTAGTCCAGAAGTAGATCAGTGGGTTGGTGCTGTGAGTGAAGAGATTGAGTCTCTTCATAAGAATCAAACATGGAAGCTTGTTCCATTGCCAAAGGGACAGGATGTACTAGGCTGCAAATGGATTTTCAAAAGAAAAGAGGGAAAACCAGGGGTTGAAGCATCAAGGTACACGGAAAGATTAGTAGCTAAAGGTTTTTCAGAGAGGGAGGGGATAGATTACAATGAAGTGTTCTCTCCAGTGGTAAAGCATAGCTCTATCAGGGTCTTACTAGCTTTGGTGGCTCTTCATGACTTAGAACTAGAGCAGTTAGATGTGAAACTGCATTCTTGCATGGTGAGCTAGATGAGCATATTTATATAAGTCAACCCAAGGGATTCATTACTCAAGATAAGAAAAATCATGTTTGCTTGCTTAAAAAATCTTTATATGGTCTGAAACAGTCGTCTAGGCAGTGGTATAAAAGATTTGATAGATTTATGATTCAAAATGCATTTTCTCGAAGTGCTATGATAGTTGTGTGTATTACAAAAAGCTTGAAGACGGTTCTAGTGTATATTTGTTGCTATATGTGGATGACATGCTTATTGCTGCTAAAAGCATGTCACATATTACCCGATTGAAGAAGCAACTAGGTGAGGAGTTTGAGATGAAGGATTTAGGTGTTGCAAAGAAGATATTGGGGATAGAGATTACTCGAGATAGAAGGGTTGGAAAGCTGATGTTGTCCCAACGGACCTATATTGAGAAGGTCCTCAAGAGATTTAATATGATAGCTGCTAAATCTGTGTCCATTCCTTTTGCTTCTCATTTCAAGTTGTCTGCAGACATGTCACAAAAAACAGATGAGGAGATGGAACAGATGTCTAGTGTTCCATATTCGAGTGTTGTAGGTAGCATTATGTATGCTATGGTTTGCACTCGCCCTGACATTTCACATGATATTAGTGTTGTGAGTAGATACATGGAGTGTCCTGGTAAAGAACATTGATAGACGGTGAAGTGGATCTTGAGATACTTGAAGGGTACTGCAGATGTAGGCTTGACTTTATACAAAGACAAGTTGAGTGAATCCTTAGTTGGCTATGTCGATTTAGATTATGCAGGGGACTTGGATAAGAGAAGATCTTTGATAGGCTATGTTTAGTGTCATCAGTTGGAAGGCGACTTTGCAGTCTGTCGTTGCTTTGTCTACCACAGAAGCTGAGTATATGGCAATTACGGAAGCAGTTAAAGAGGTTATTTGGTTACAAGGCCTGATAAGTGATCTTGGACTAACTTAGAAGAAGACACAAGTTTTTTGTGACAGTCAAAGTGACATTCATCTTACTAAGAATCAGATATTTTATGAGCGGACGAAGCATATTGAAGTCAGATCACTTTATTCGAGATATTATATCAAAGGGGATTGTTAAAGTGGAGAAAGTGTCTAAGCATGATAATCCAGGTGATATGATGACCAAGTCAGTCCCTGCCAACAAGTTTAGGCATTGCCTAGACTTGATTGGTGTGTGCAGTACTCAATAGAGCCCTTGCGAGGGCTGAGGGTAAGGTAGAGAAATGTTGTTCCTGTTGATGAAGAGAATTCAAGCCAAATGGAAGATTTGTTATTTGTGGCTTGAATTATTTCCTTGTATTTTTAGGAAACCCATAGTCCCTATAGGTTTAGGAAAACCCATTGTCCTAATAGATTTGGGAAAGGAAAACCTATAGTCCTTGTCAAATTGAGAAACCTTTCTCATATATGTTTGAGACCTTTTGGGATCTATATATAGGGGTTGTAGTTGGGGATTCTATAGATTGTATTGTGCTTTTCTTCTCATTCATAGTGGAAAACTCTCTCTTCTTTTGCCCCTAGAATTAGGCTTAGCCAAACCTCGTTAAATCCTTGTGTTAATTTTTATTCTCTATTTGCTTTGTGTGAGATTGTGTGTTAGTTAACCCACGATATTCCGCAACAAATACCACTACATCAAGCACCGGTAATTTTGTATCCGGTCAAAATCTTGGCCAATTGATGGAAGTGGGTAGCTCCAATAGACCCATAGATCATGGAACAAATAGGGTGGGTAGGACTAAGCACCACACTACACGTATAGACGCGAACCCTCCCCGTTATCGTACGGGACAATAGATCCACATCAAATAAGCATTGACTTAGTTGCTTTTAATTTTCAGTTTATTTAATCCCGATGTTGATCCAACGCAACTTACCGGTGATAGTAGCAGCACCTGGAGCTTTCAATTAATATAATTTCATCAACTGAATTCGAAAAGAAAAAATAAAAGCAAAACTTTCCTCTTTTTCGCGAGTGGGCAAAACTCGGGAAGATGCCGAAATGACAGGCAACCCACTATAAGAAGGGTGCATTCTTCTAAGGGATTTTTACATAGCGATACACTATTGAAAATTTTATTACTAAAAATGTTCACGTTTAGTTAATTACCCACCTAAACAAGTTTTGTTTACAAAATATATACATTCCACCTTAAAAGGCTCCCAATCCATTATTAGTGTGTACAATTAAGGGATTTAGTTATACCTTTTTCTTTTTTTTCTCTCCTCTTCCCCCTTTTCTCTCCGTATCTTCCACCCTTGCAGCAATTTAGGCCAATTTGAAGTTCCGCTGTCATTCAAGCAGTTTGCCAGCCATTCAAAACTGACATACTTGGATCAATGTTGGCTCTAATATAATAAGTACAGACACCGAATTTCAGAATTGGATCCGAAATTTCCACTTGCAGCTTTTTGCTATTCATGGATGTATAAACCTTCAGAAATTGCCTTCTTTCCTTCAGTACCAATATAACTTGAGAATTCTTGCTATTGATGAAAATTAGTTGCCGAGAAACTTTCCAACCTTGTTGTTAGAGAATAACACCAAACTTGGAGTCCTTTATGCTAGAGATAATTCTTTCATTGGACCAATGAAGTTGCCAACAAGTTGTCTGCTCCATCTAGATACCTTTGATGTTTCTAATAACAAATTAAATGGACATATCTCAGCAAACATGAGTTTCGCCTTCCCAAAGCTTGATTATCTAAACATGTCACAAAATTTGCTTGAAGGTCCTATACCTTCTGCTGTTAGTGACATTCCTTTAAGAATTGTAGACCTATCTCATAATTTCTTGTCTGGAGGAGTTCCTAGAGATCTGACTAGTATTCCAACATTGTTCTACTTTCGGCTGTCAAACAACAAGTTGAAAGGGAAAAAATTGTACTAGTTTTGTATTTAATTTATACATAGTAAAAATAAATTTCATACAACTGATTATATATTCTATCACTTATCTACAACTTTCATATACTATTTCTACCGAGTTATATATAACTACAATATCATACCACTTAAATATAATTTTTATACAAATTTTATACAATATATTTTTTGTATATTTTGTATCTGATCTATACATAATAAAAATAAATTTCATACAACTAATTATATATTATACAACTTATCTATAATTTTCATATATTATTTCTACTCAGTTATATACAACTACAATATCATACAACTTAAATATAATTTTATACAATATTGTTCAACTTTCATACAATAGTTAAATAAATAAAAAATATAAACAACATAATACAATTTTTCTACAATTTTACTATAAAGTTACTACAATTTCGTAAGTATAATGTATGTTATGTCTTCTTCTTCTTCTTCTTCTTCTTCTTCTTCTTCTTCTTTCTTCTTCTTCTTCCAATTTGAAATTCAGCCAAAATCAAGTCTAATCTTCACCAAAACACCCTCAAAATTGAGATATAAACTCCAAACCATATTTTCAATTGTTTGCAACAACATTCAATCCAAACAAATAATGGTTTTTGAAAACGCAAATTCGAATTCAAAGCTTCAAAGCTTTTTAATGGTTGTCAATGGTGGAATTGCTGCTCTATTTTCCTTTGCTTTACATTACTGGAATTAGGGATTGTGAGATAGAGAGAGACGTAGAGAGAATTCCCAATTGTTTGCAACAACACCCAATTCAAAAAAATAATATTTTTTGAAAACCCAAATTCGAATTCAAATTAAAGCTTCAAAGCTTTTTAATGACTGTCAATGGTGGAATTGCTACTCTCTTTTCCTTTGCTTTACATTACTGGAATTAGGGATTGAGAGATAGAGAGAGACATAGAGAGAATTCCCAATTATTTTCAACAACACCCAATTCAAATAAATAATATTTTTTGAAAACCCAAATTCGAATTCAAAGTTTCAAAGCTTTTTAATGACTGTCAATGATGGAGTTGCTACTCTCTTTTCCTTTGCTTTACATTACTGGAATTAGGGATTGAGAGACACATAGAGAGAATTCCCAATTATTTTCAACAACACCCAATTCAAACAAATAATATTTTTTGAAAATCCAAATTCGAATTCAAAGCTCCAAAACTTTTTAATGGTTGTCAATGGTGAAATTGCTGCACTCTTTTTCTTTGATCTACATTACTAGAATTAGGGATTGAGAGATAGAGAGAGACGGAGAGAGAGATAGGGAGAGAGAATAAGGATGAGAAATAATTAATTCCTAATATAAAGGGATACTTATTTAATTCCTAAAGTATATATAATTGGTAAATTTGTATATAGGAGGTAATTAAATTGAAGCTTGAATAAGGAAAGTAATAAAGTTTCCAATAATGTATAGGTATGTAAAAATCCCTTCTTCTAATTAGGATTCATATTTTCTCTCCAAATTTACCAACCTATAAATGTTTTTTTAAAATATCAACTCATATTCTAAGATTCAGCTACCTATAATCCAGCCCGTTAATTTTGTGTATGGCAAATGAGAACAATGCCCATTGAGGTGGTTCGAACCTGTGGACCTCAACCTTGAATTTTGTAAAAAGAGATTACAAAGTTAAATAATGTAATGTGGTTAAATACGTAATCAAATAAATAGAGAAGGAATTTACTATTGATGCATTGATGTTACAAGAAAGATTCAATTGATATTCAATTGGAGTAGGTGTTGGTAATAAGACATTCTAAAATTTGAGGATTGTTACTCTATGCAAAACTAGTGTAGCAATTTGTAGCAGTACTACATAATATTGTATATTACTGTATATGGGGTATATAAACACATCTTATACATTATTATACACATTTATATAAGATTGATATATTACATATCTATACTATATTAAAAGCACGAAGGCCCTTAGCGAAATATCGTTCGACTTTTTTACCCTTAAAAAATCGACTTTACACTA